CCTGTTCTGGGATGACTGTTCTGGTCCCCCCTGTTCTGGGATGAGTGTTCTGGTCTCCCCTGTTCTGGGATGACTGTTCTGGGATGACTGTTCTGGTCCCCCCTGTGCCTGGATGATTGTTCTGGTGTCCCCCTGTTCTGAGATGATCGTTCTGGTCCCCCCCATTCTAGGATGACTGTTCTGGTCCCCCCCATTCTGGGATGACTGTTCTGGTCCCCCCCATTCTGGGACTGCTCCCCTCTGCCACAGGCCCTGCCAGGGAGGCTCAGCTGAGCCCCAGCTCTGCCCAGCCCCGCTGTGGCTCTGGGGAATGCAGAGAATGGCTGATTTTATTCCACCTGGTATCCCAGCAGTCCCGACTCCCTCTCGTCGGGCAGCTCCTCGGTGAAGCGTCTCTTTTGGCCCTGGGGGTGGGTTTGCACCTGGGGCTGAGCACCAGTTGGCAGGCTGGTTTTTACTGGGGCAGCAGGGAGGAAAGGAGCACTCAGCGGGCTCTGGAGTGCACAAGGTGGAGACAAAACACAGGGAGAAGGGGAGATTAGGGCACAGAAATCCTTCACTCGGTGGGGGTTCATGCAGAGGGGCAGAACACAACCAGCCTGTCTTTGGGAAATGCAAAAGGAGGTGAAAGAAAAGTCACAGCTTAGAGATAAATCAAATATTTCATCTGCAGAATGGTCCCACCTCAAACTCATCCTCACCTGTAACTCAGACTCCTCCTAACCTGTAACTCACACTCATCCTAGTCTCTAACTCATTCCAACCTGTAACTCAAACTCATCCTAACCTGTAACTCACGCTCATCCTAACCTGTAACTCAAACTCCTCCTAGTCTCTAACTCATCCTAACCTGTAACTCAGACTCATTCTAATCTGTAACTCACACTCCTCCTAATCTCTGACTCAGACTCCTCCTAACCTGTAACTCACACTCATTCTAACCTATAACTCCAACTCATCCTAAACTGTAACTCCAACTCATCCTAAACTGTAACTCCAACTCATCCTAAACTGTAACTCCAACTCATCCTAAACTGTAACTCCAACTCATCCTAAACTGTAACTCCAACTCATCCTAAACTGTACTCCAACTCATCCTAAACTGTAACTCCAACTCATCCTAAACTGTAACTCCAACTCATCCTAAACTGTAACTCCAACTCATCCTAAACTGTAACTCCAACTCATCCTAAACTGTAACTCAAACTCATCCTAAACTGTAACTCAAACTCATCCTAAACTGTAACTCAAACTCATCCTAATCATTACCTCAGACTCCTCCTAACCTGTAACTCAGACTCATCCTAATCTCTAACTCATCCTAATCTCTAACTCATCCTAATCTCTAACTCATCCTAATCTCTAACTCATCCTAATCTCTAACTCATCCTAATCTCTAACTCATCCTAATCTCTAACTCATCCTAATCTCTAACTCATCCTAATCTCTAACTCATCCTAATCTCTAACTCATCCTAATCTCTAACTCATCCTAACCTGTAACTCATCCTAATCTCTAACTCATCCTAATCTCTAACTCATCCTAATCTCTAACTCATCCTAATCTCTAACTCATCCTAATCTCTAACTCATCCTAATCTCTAACTCATCCTAACCTGTAACTCAGACTCCTCCTAACCTGTAACTCAAACTCATCCCAATCTCTAACTCCTCCTAACCTGTAACCCAAACTCTCGTCCCTGGCACTGGATGAGCTTTAAGGTCCCTTCCAACCCAAACCAGTCTGGGATCCTCTGATCCTCCCCTGGCACCTTTATCCCTTCAGAGACACCTCCCCTAAAGCAAACCCAGGTTCAAAACCCACTTCCCTTGCCTGAAGTCAGCCAGAATCCATCAGGGGCCCTCCAGCCTGGGCTGACCCCTCCCAAAAACGAGCCCCCACCCACAGCAGGCAGCCCCGGCAGGGTAACCCCAACCCCCGAGTGCCAGAGCCCAGGGGGTGCCCGGGGCAGTACCTGTGCGGTGCTGGCAGGAGGCTGGACCTGGGGGATGGGGTACTGCGTGGGCACGGGCGGCACGGCCGCGGGCAGCGCCGGCAAGCACGCCGGGGGCCAGGGGCACGGCCGGGGGGCACCGGCCTGGCACCCGTTAGGGCTGACTGGCGGGCTGCTGGCGGGGGGGCACACAGATGGGTACCCCGACTGGTAACCCGGTTGGAGGTAGTAGGACGGCTGGGACTGGACACTGCTGATGGTGCGGGCATGGGTGAAGCCTGGGGATGAGAAAGGGAGGGTTTTCCATTACATCAGTCAGCAGCTCAACTGATTGCCTTAAGCCCCCCCCCTGTAAGTTTTATAAGTAGAATTTTAAATAGCTAGCAACCCCCTCCTTTGTCCCTTGTCCCCTTGCCTTTCTCTCCAGCACGTTGTTTACACATTCCTTAACCCTCTTGACCCCATTCTGTGCTCCCCATATCAATCCTACTCCTGAATCCAATAGAAATGTTTAGGCTGATGCCTTAAGCCCCTAATGTTTTTTTTTTTAATTTTTCTAATATTGGTAAGCCCTGTAAGTTTTATAAGTAGATTTTAAAAGCAGCAACCCCCCCCTCCTTTGTCCCTTGTCCCTTTCTCTCCAGCACCCTTGTTTACACATTCCTTAGCCCTCCTACCCCATTCTATGCTCCCCATATCAATCCTACTCCTGAATCCAATAGAAATGTTTAGTCTTTTGTCAAGGCAAGGCCTAGATTGTTGGTAGAACAGCATATCAGGGCCTAAACCACAGAATAGGTCAGGAATTAGGTAACTATGTACCCTTTGTGCTCTGATGAAGATGGGATGAACAGGGGGTCCTGAAATGCACCCCAGACTCATTTTAAGGGGGTGGACCCAGGGCAATCCAGAGTAAAGGCCACAGGGTGGACACATCTGGGATTGGATGGATGGTGTTATAAAATGTGACCTCTCAGGCACGGCCTGGGCGTGTCCTGTAACATCTCAGCCTTGGCAAATAAACCCTTTCTTATCTCCCCCCTAATTAACTGCTCTGGAGATTTTTTCAGCACCAAAATCCCACGGCAACAAACAGCAAATGGAAAAGGGGCTGGGCCCTGGAAGCTGAGCTGGGGCTGGGATTTACCTGCCAGGGGCACTGCAGTGGTTATCTGGTTCACAAAGCGGGAGTACTCGGCGTGAACCTGCAGAGGATCCCCAGAGATCACAGAATAAACATCCCAAATGAACCCCCCCAAACCTGGGAGTGTGTCCTGCTGACCACAGAACACGCCAGGCACAAGGACAGCAATGACCCAAACAGGGACACCCACCCACCCACACCCCAGGGAACAGCCCCTGTTGGCCCCTCTGGGGTAGATCCCTGTAAAATATGGGATAACCTTCCCCAGGTTAAGAGAAGTGAAAAAAGAGAATGGCAAATAAATTGCTACAGCAGAGACAAGATACTCAGAGAACCCAGAAGCTTCCATGTATTTTTGTCAAAGGAAACTTTGTAGCCTACACTCAATTATCAACATCAACAGAACATTAACAGAAACCCCCGGGGTTTTACTCCATTTGCATTCATGTGGGAAAAGCTTGAGAGAGAAACTCATTTTGTGAGAGATTTTCCAGGATTTTTTTTTTGGTTACACCAATCACTTCCTCTTTCCTGAAGCAGACAGTGCAGCTCTGGACAACATGGGAAGCTTTCCCCCCCTAAAATTCCACTACTACAGCTCCATCCTGAGAAATGTTCACTGTCTGTACAAGAATTAAGGCAGCAGCTCTTGGAAGGGAAAACACACGAGCAAGTCAGACACACAGACATCAAAAAGAGCATTAAAAAATCACCCCCCAAAGCTCCACCAGGCTCTGAAAGCTGGTGTTTGTAAGAGCTACTCACCGTTTGCAAGAGGTTCTCACACAGCTTTTTAGCAGCTGCCAAACCCTCTGGCTTTGGGTGGCTGAAAGGACAGACAAAACAAAAACAAACACCTCATCAGCACAACTCTGTCAGATTTGGGAGCTCCCTCTTCCATCAGCAACCTGCTGTCAGACTCATCCCCTTAGGGAGAAACTCTGGTCTAAGAATTAGGGTTTCAAGAAGAAAACTTGGTCTGGTGGAAGGTGTCCCTGCTCTTGGCAGGGGGTGGAACTGGATGAGCTTTAAGGTCCCTTCCAACCCAAACCACTCTGGGATTCTCTAATTCTACTCTGGCACCCCAGGGTTGACTCTTTATCACTTTACAGACACCTCTATTAGAGCAAAATCAGGTTCAATCAACTTCACTGGCATGAAGGGAGTTGGAATTAAGGATTTCCCAACATTAAACCACATTGCTGGGTCAAGAACTGGTTGGAGGGCCAGGGAGTGCTGGGGGATGGAGCTGCATCCAGGTGGGATCTGGGCACTGGGGGTGTCCCCAGGGGGATGGAGCTGCATCCAGGTGGGATCTGGGCACTGGGGGTGTCCCCCAGTTGGGCCCAGTCCTGTTCAATGTCTCTGTTGATGATCGGGGTGAGGGGATGGAGTGAACCATCACAAACGTGCAGGGGACACCAGGCTGGGGGGTGGATCTGCTGGAAGGCAGGAGGGCTCTGCAGAGGGACCTGGACAGGCTGGATCCAGGGGCTGATTCCAACGGGAGGAGGTTCAACCAGGCCCAGGGGCACAACAACCCCCGGCAGCCCCCCGGGCTGGGCCAGGGTGGGAAGGGAGCTGGGATTTGGGATGGGCAGGGAGCTGAACAGGAGCCAGAGTGTGCCCAGGGGGCCAAGAGGGCCGATGGACCCTGGCCTGGCTCGGGATCAGGGGGCAGCAGGAGCAGGGCAGGGATTGTGCCCCTGGGAGGCCTCCCCTCGAGGGCCGTGTCCAGCTCGGGGCCCTCAGCTCAGGAAGGACATGGAGGGGCTGGAGCAGGGCCAGGGAAGAGCAGCCAGGCTGGGGAAGGGGCTGGAGCACAATTCCCGTGAGGAGAGGCTGAGGGAGCTGGGGGGGCTCAGCCTGGAGAGGAGGAGGCTCAGGGGAGACCTCCCCACTCTGCACAGCTCCTGACAGGAGGGGGGGTCGGGCTCTGCTCCCAGGAACCAGCAGCAGGACAGGAGGGTCTCCAGCTGTGCCAGGGCAGGTTTAGGTTGGACATTAGGAAGGAATTCTTTCCAGAGAGTGACCTGACATTGGAATGGGCTGCCCAGGGAGGGGGTGGAGTTCCCACCCTCCATTCCCTGCAGGATTTTAAGCCCAGACTGGATGTGGCCTCAGTGCCACGGGCTGGGAACCACGGTGGGGTCGGATCAAAGGTTGGATTTGTTGATCTCAGAGGGCTTTTCCAACCCAGCTGATCCTGTAATTCTGTGATCCCC